AGTGGTGTTTTACCACTGAGCACATCTCCAGCCCTTTTTAATTTTTATTTTGAGACAGTATCTTGCTAAGTTGCTTAGGGTCTCACTGAGTTGCTGAGGCTGGTCTTGAACTTGGAATTCTCAGCCTCCCAAGCCTTTGGGTTATAGGCATACACCACCAAACCCAGCTTTTTTTAAAATTGATACAGTGTCTGCTCCTTGCCTGACCTCCCAGGTTACTGTGATGGAACTATAGGTATGTGCCAACACATCCAGCTCCTGTGTGCGGGCTCTCGCCCTCCCTCCCTCCCTCCCTCTCTCTCTCCTTTTTTTTTTTTTTTTTTTTAAGATGAGACACTGTGTTGCTCAAGCTAGTCACAAACTCCTAGGTGCTCAAGTTATCCTCCTGCCTTACCCTCCCAAGTAGCTGGGATTGCAGGCATACATCACTGCACCTAGCCATATGTTCTCATTCCTTAGTATTATTATTATAAGAGACTCTCCTTCCTTCCTTCTTTTTTTCATTTTGGTACTAGGGATTACACCTAGCGGTGTTTTACCACTAAGCTACATCCCCAGACTGTTTTTGGAGACAGGGTCTTGCTAAATTGCTTAGGGCCTCAGTAGGTTGCTGATACTGGCCTCAAATTTGCAATCCACCTGCCTCTGTCTCCCAAGTCACTGGGATTACAGGTGTTCACCATCATATCCAGCGGTGTTCTGTTTTGAAACAAGGTCTCACTAAGTTGTTTAGTTGCCAAATTGCTGAGACTGGCCTTGAACTTGGAATTCTTTTGCTTCAGCCTCCCGAGTCACTAGGATTACTGGTTCTCTTATTTTTCTTTTAAGGATTTGTCATTTGTCTGTCAGTGACTAGGCCAAAACTTAATCAGATCAGTCTCCAAAGCCTGTGTTTAAAACACACTTGCCTGTTTCTCTCCAGTCTTTTGGCCTTTAGAATAGATGAGTAAGCAGAGCAGTCTCTTTAGGGAAGATTGGATTCAAGATTTTTGTTTTCTTTTATTTTTTTAAGTTATCAGTGGATAGCATAGTTTTGTTTATTTTTTATTTATTTATTTTTTTGTGATGCTAAGGATTGAACCCAGTGCCTCACTTATGTTAAGCAAGAGCTCTGCCACTAAGCTACAGCCCCAGCCCCGGATTCAAGATTTTTTTTTACTCTAGCTCCTGGACAAAACTATAGTGTTTTCTAACCATGGAATCCCAATTCATAGTCCTATTTTATATCTCTATTAATGACACCATTGGTTCCAGATATTTAACTAAATTTCTTACAGAACTGTGGTATTTGTGTTGATTATATAAAGGAATATTTTATAGAAGGAAGGTGCCAACATGCTTGTGTGGGATGTGATAAGAAAGTTTTGAGAAAGAAGCTGGTTGTGGTTGAATGCTTCTGTAGTTCCAGATACTTAGAAGGCTGAGGTAGGAGTATCATGGAGTTCAAAGCCAGCCTGGGCAACATAGTAAGACCCCATCTCAAATAAAGAAAGCAGGAAAGAAAGGTTAAGTACCTTTAGGTTTAACCCTAGTACCGGCAACCCCCCCCCCAAAAAAAA